TCAAGCAACTCACTGATATTCAGACCAAAGCTATTCACTATACTTAGTGCCGGGGCTTAGTGCGAGTCTGATGTGTTTGTTATTTTTTTTTACTAAAAAAATTTAGTCGCACTGGAAATAGTAAATCCTTAATGACCTTATGTCATTATGCTTTACTGGCCTTGCGACCATCAAGCGTGGTAATAGTGTTGTCAACACTGTTGAGTATTATAGAAGAGTAGGTGTTATACCTCAACGCTCATGATGTCACTGCTACATATATCGGCAGAAATGAAGCCGAGGACATCAGAAATACAGAGCTCAAAGTGCTTTCTGGTAGTCATTGTAACAAAGCTTTCTATTGGTCGGTAAACTTTCTATCGCGCAACCACGTGACATACACTGTTATGATTAGAATTACCACACGGTGTTGTAGAGGGAGGAATGTCCGAACAAAACAACACAGTGCAGGCGGACGATGGACAAGGCTCCGCTGTTAGCAATGCTCATTTCAAATAAAGATAACATCACAAATTGAACAACGCAGGCAGACCCCGGTTCAATGCAGCCACATACAAATAAAGGCTCAGTTATATAGAATGGAATATGTAGAATTACAGTTTCATTGTGGCATTGGCATACAGTAGTAAAACTCCAGAATATGGTTCTAAATATACAAAACATATGGGGGAAAGTGTATAAATAAATCAAAGTAAATCAAATAATTTTTATCATAAACAGTATCATGTACAGTAAATTTAAATATACATTTCTCTCAATATGTGCAAAAAGTGTCGAGCGATACAACCAATAAATATAGGTCAAATAAATTGTATACCCGGTAATAATAAATGACATTGCATGATTACTTTTCCAATGCTAACATCACTTTCCAACACAGTTCAAACCTGCCTTTTTTGAATACACGAAATATATACATTTTACATTGTGAAATTGCTCAATTATGAATGCTTTGTTAAATTCTGTGAGATTTGTTTCCTTGAGGAATATATGTGTAAGAGTATTATTATACCCTAGGCCCACACTGATTGATTCATGTAATGTCATAGCCTGTAACAACTAACTAGATATAAATTGTAACTGACAAACAAATTGTGCTAGAATAAATTAAGCCAAGGATTCATACAAACAAAGATAAGAATATACTTTCAACTTTCATGACCATGTATAGTGATACATTGTATGCGATGAAGATCTCATGAGAAGCCTTGAGTCTAGCAATCTCATACTGTGCACATCAATCAAATGTAGTTCACAGAAGATGCTTGGAAATGTTTGATTGTGTATGCAGATATGAGCAAGAATGTCACCGTATTCAAACACACCAAATGCACGTTACATGTTTTGTGAATAAGCAAGGATAATACCATTCAAAATTTAATACAGAATACAAACTCCATAACAGTTTGGCACAGACATGATCCAATAACTAATCATGTCTGCCCATTACCCCCAAATTATCTAGTTACCAAATTTGATTAAAATTTGCTTTGAAGTTTTGGGGCTTCTGCTTATACATGTACAGGTTAAAAGAAAAAAATATTACACATGTATGCAAATTAGATACTTAATATGCAGAGTCATTGCCTGAAAACTAATTATTCCTGCACATTACCCCAAGGTACTTGGCTATCAAATTTGATCAAAATTGGCTCAGAAGATAATGAGATTTTGGGTTATACACAGCCAGAAATGAGAAAATTATTATGGAAATTAGCTGTGCA